TTTTTTTTTTTTTTTTTTTTGTCGCGTTGGGCTCGAACGGCCGAACGCCTTTCGAAAGGGTCCCGTACGTTCGGGCGTTCGCGTTCGGGCGTTCGGCCTGTTCCAAACGTACGGAGGTCCCCGGGAAGACCTCCGTACGTACGGGCGTTCGGGGTCCCGTACGAGGTCCGAACCCGACAACGTTCTGCCCCCGCCAAAAATTATTTCGGGGCCAAAAAATAATTATTTTTTTCAGAATTTCTTTTTTTGAGTTCTCTATGACGTGAGATACATGTAAATTTTCAATTCATTTGGCTAAGCCAAATAGGAATTAAAAATCACCAAAGATGGCGGTATCAAAACGTGCTCTCCCACGTATTTTTTCACTTTTTACTTTTGGTTTTCAGTTTTGGTTCGGGGTCTAAACAATTTTATTATTTTTTGTAACTTTTTTAGTGGGTTTTGTATTGTATGAAGTACACATTTGTAAATTTTCAAGTGATTGAGCTATGCCAAAAAAAAATGAAAAATCGCCAAAGATGGCGGTGTTGAAAATATGCCCATGCACTCACTACATTTAATTTTCTTTTTCTTTTTATTTATTTTTATTATTAGTATTTATTTTCCGTATTTTATTTTTATTTCAAATTTGGCAAGCAATTCGGATGTAATGCTCAAACAAATCGTGTTTAATTTATTTTTGTCCATAACATATTTGTTTTTCAGATTTTTTTGATGACTTTTTTTTTTTTTTTTTTTGGGTCCGCGTTCGGCCCGAACGGCCGAACGCATCCTCAAGAGGTCCCATACATTCGGGCGTTCGGCCTGTCCTGAACGCCGGTTACCCTGTGTATATATATATATATATATATATAGTTGCCAGGCCGAACATACGGAGGCCCCTAAGCTGACCCCGGAACGTTCGGGCGTTCGGGTCCCCGTACGGGGATCCGAACGCGAAGGGGTTCGGACCCCGCAAAAAAATATTTGTTTTTTCTGATTTTATTTTTGTGAGTTCTTTGTTATGTAAGCTACCTGTGTCTCAATTTTGAAGTCATTCTGTGGAGCCAAATAATAAAGAAAAATCGGCAAAGATGGGGGTGTCAAAACTTGCTTTCCTACTTACTAATTTGTTTTTTTTCTTTTTTCACTTTTTGTTTTCCCTTTATTTCGGGGCTTGAAAAAAAATATTTTGGGACCTGTCCCGAATGCTGGCAACCTTGTATATATATATATATATATATATATATATATATATATATATATACAGGGTTACCGGCGTTCGGGACGGGCCGAACGCCCAAACCCGAACCTCCGAACGTACGGGACCCCTTCGGGAGGCGTTCGGCCGTTCGGGCCGAACGCAGACCAAAAAAAAAAAAAAGAAAAAAAAAATCAAGTTTAAAAAAAAATCCAAAAAATAACTATGTTATGGAGAAACATAAAATAAACAACATTTGCCTGGACACTACATCCAAATTCTTTACCAAAATTGAATTAAAAATCCAATACAGAAAATAAACACTATGATAAAAATAAGAAATAATAAAAAGAGAATTAAAATGAGTGAGTGTGCCAGCACCTTTTCGACACATCCATCTTTGCCGATTTTTTATTATTTTTTGGCATTGACAACTGCTCTAAAAATTTACAGATATGTAGTTTACATAATCAATAGCTTATTAAAAATTGTTCAAAAAATAATAAAATTTTTTAGGCCCCGAAATAAAGTGAAAACAAAAAGTTAAACGTGAAAAAAAACAAAATAGTGAGTGGGCGAGCACGTTTTGACACCCCCATCTTTGACGATTTTTAATGTTTTTTTGGCTTAGAAGAATGTCTTCAAAATTTATAGGCGTGTAGGCTACCTCATAGAGAACTCCCAAAAAACACTTCAGAAAAAAAAATGTATTTTTAGGCCCCAAAATATATATATATATATATATATATCATCAAATAGAACTGCGCGGTAAACCGTAGGCAGAGAGGGAGAATATATATATATATATACAGGGTTACCGGCGTTCGGGACGGGCCGAACGCCCGAACTCAAACGCCCGACCGTACAGGACCCCTTCAGGAGGCGTTCGGCTGTTCGGGCCGAACGCGGACAAAAAAAAAAAAGAAAAAAAAAAAGAAAGTTTTCAGAGAATTTCGAAAACAAACTATGTTATGGAGACAAATAAACTAAACAACATTTGCCTAGGCACTACATCCGAATTCTTTACCAAATTTGAACAAAACTCATTTGGGGTCAACAGGTAAGTCAGATTCCTACTGTCAATACTATTTTTAGTAAGATTAGTTCTCAAACTGAGGAAGCATCAGGAATAAACAATATTCTAAACTAATGTTGTCTGTCAGATGTCACCTGGCTGTCCATCTAACTAATAAAAAAATAAAAATAATGTTGAGTGACCGGGTCTGTTTATAGCATGGAATTAAAACTCGAACTTATCACCTGGAACCTACCCCTCCCTTTGTTATTCTCAAAGTCACGGTGTCACGTTTCTTCGCATCAGAAGCCAAGCGTGTCTCAAAGGTGTGCAATCCGGTCCCACCCCTATGCCCCGGGTTATCGTCGAGCAAGGCAGCCACAACACTCTTATTTACCCTCGTACGTCGACGAGCCTTCCACTCGGATGATCTGGCTAATCAAGAGGCAATTTAACGTCCACCCCAAGTGACATCTGGAATTATTTTACGTCGCAGCAGGACGATGATCACATCCAGATCAGAGTCGAGTCCCCAACCAGAAATGTTTATAGACGGTCTGGTAAGCGTCTGTAGAGGCTGCCATACTCGAGTTAACCCCTATCATGCGCAAGCAGCAGAACCAACGACTTGCAGCGAAGCATGCGTGTACTACACCCAGTGGGTTGGCATGGTGACCGTGACCCAGTGCTTCGTCCAGGGCCCTTCAAGAAGCTCCGCCCGTCTTCCCCCAGATGCTCCGCGTGAACAATCACGACTCTCAAGGTTGAGYGCACACGACACCTCACGATGAGAGGACTCTCAAGCCAGAACTCACAACCTCACGGTGCTTCGTACCTGAGATGTTTTTCACAGCCTCTCAAGAACCAGTTGGCAAAAGAGGCCAACATCAATATGCACAACTTTCCTTCGTTTAGCAAGGTGGCCCTAGACCTGGAAGCAAAGATAGGGCATGGACGGGCACCCACTACGGAAGGGAGAAAGAAGACATTGCCTCCTAACTGGAAGGCGAAGGGTCGCTTAATGTTTGTCGACAACGATGGTTCAACCATCGAGTTGGACGACAACCTCCAGGAGGGAGTAGGTTCAGAGGCAGGCAACTTAGACGCTTCATAGGGTGGAGTGGTCGCAGTCGTAGCACAAAAAGGTAAAGGGACCGGTCGACGCCCTAGGGGATCCCGGTCGAAGAGTCAAACAGACCCCAACGCTCCTCCATGAGAGAAAGCGGGTCTATCAGAGGACGTGTGGAGAGATCGGTGGGCCCGGCAAGCTTGTATCAAGTGTGGTCAATATGGCCATAGCATGTACAAGTGCCGAAACAGGAAGGTCATCGAGAAGATCCCGCCTACGATGGGGCCGGCGGTAGGATCCTCCACTCCCGTTGGTAGCAACGTTGCCAGTTCTTCAGGCACCGCTCCGGGAAACACGTCATGCCAGTAGAAATAGTAGCTGATACTACTAGGGTCGCGGTGGTGGATACACCCTCACCTTCGCGAGAGATGGCCCAAGCTACTGACTCGTCAGTCGTCCCGCAAGCACATTCAGACTCATCGACCCTCTGTTCGATGAATGTGTTTGAGTCCTTAGAGGAGCTAGAGGTGGAGTGGTCTAGATTAGACCCGCTAGCTTCTTGGACGACCTTAGTCAAAGCTCCTAAGGGTGAGATGTTCGTCAGCGAGGTTATTATTGGCGGCCGCAAGGCTGGGACCTATTATGACACTTGCTCGACACGGAACTTTATTAGTCACGCGTGCGTTGAGAGACTGAGCTTACAGGGGCGAGTGCAGCGCCTGAGTCGACCTGTGGAGTCGACCTGTGCCAACAAATAGCGCATGGTAGTTAACGACTACCTCAAGGATGTAGAGTGTAGTTTCCCGTACGCGGGATGGGACTTGAGGCATCGTGTCTCGTTCCTAGTGAGCGATGAACTCCCCATGGACATGTTGTTAGGTATGTACTACCTCTCTGTGGCACAACCCCAGTTTGATTGGGACCGCAAAGTGGTCAAACACACTCTGCCAGGTGGAGGGACCGCCAGAGTACATAAGTTCAAAATTAGTAGTCTGATTGAGTCTTACGGGTGCATTTGTGCGGCCGCGTTCTATAATTATTATAAGCAAAATCAGGAGGAGGGTATGTACTTAGTTTATGTCTCTGCTGCAGGTGAGCCGGTGAAAATGCCGCCGAAGATAAAGGGAGTAGTTGCCTAATACCCTGATCTATTTGAAGAGCCAACATGGGTTGTTGATAGGGAGGTCGTCCACGCAATAGAGATTATCCCAGAGTCTAGTATTCCGAAGGGTAGGATCTATCGGATGTCTCCAAACGAGCTTGATGAGCTTCGCCGCCAACTCAAGGAACTCGTAGAGAAGGGTTGGATCCGGCCGAGTGTCTCTCCTTACGGATCTCCAGTACTATTCGTACCTAAGAAGAAGAGGACAATCTCAGGATGTGCATTGACTATAGGGGCCTCAATGCCATCACTGTGAAGAACAGAGAGTCCCTACCGCGCATCGACGATCTGTTAGATAGAGTGCAAGAGTGTCGGTACTTCAGCAAGATAGATCTGAAGTCCAGGTACCATCAGATTGCAATTCGGCCCGAGGATCAACACAAAACCGCTTTTCAGACCAGGTACGGTCTGTACGAGTTTGTGGTGATGCCTTTTGGCCTTTGCAATGCTCCTGGCACCTTTCAACACGCTATGAATAGGATATTCCATGACTACTTGGATAAGTTTGTCATCATGTACCTCGTACTTATTTTTAGTAAGATTGTCGAGGAACATGTTGCACACTTGAACAAAGTCCTCGGTCTCCTGCGACAGCACAAGTTCAAGATTAACGGTGAAAAGTGTGAGTTTGGCCGTACCCGTGTCTTGTACTTGGGTCATGAGATCTCCACGGAAGGGTTGAAGCTCGATGACGCGAAGGTGGCCAGCATTCGTGATTGGCCACGTCCTCAGTCTGTGACTGAGATGAAATCTTTCTTAGGAATGACAGGCTACTATAGAACTTTCGTGAAGAACTATAGCATAGTGGCCGCTCCTTTGACTGATCTGACCCGCCTTGACACCCCATGGGAGTGGACAGAAAAGTGCGAGGTTGCTTTCAGACATCTGAAGCATGCATTAACTCACTATGAAGTCTTAAAACTTTCTGATCCTGACAAGCCGTTCATAGTCACCACGGATGCCAGCAAGTACGGCATTGGCGCCGTGCTCGCGCAGCAGGAGGGGCCAAAGTTGAGGCCAGTTGAGTACATGTCTAAGAAAATGTCGTCTCAGAAGTTGGCTAAGTCCACTTATGAGAAGGAACTTTATGCGGTGTACAAAACTCTCACCCATTGGAGACATTATCTCCTTGGGAGGTTCTTCATCCTCAAGACTGATCATCAAACCCTGAAATGGATGAGAACCCAGTCGGTACTCTCTGACGCTCTCAAGCGTTGGATCGAAGTCATAGAGCAATATGACTTTGACCCTCAGTATCTCAAAGGGGAGTATAACAAGGTTGCTGACGCCCTTTCGCGCAGACCAGACTTCTCAGGTGCGTTGATTACTGAGTTCAGTCTTACGGACAATGTTACTCAATCTTTGGTGGAAGCCTATCGCGAGGACCAGTTTATGTCTGAGATCATACGCAGACTTGAGGCGAAGGACAAGAAGACGTCCGCCGAGTTTGAGTTGGTCAATGGATTGCTGTTCCTAGAGAAGGCAGGGAATAAACGCTTGTGTGTTCCAAATAGCGAGTCTTTGCGTAGTTTGTTTCTAGGTGAAAGTCATGATGCCACCGGTCATTTCGGGTATAAGAAGACCGCAGCCAACTTGCTGCAACGATTCTGGTGGCCCACGATGATGCGAGATGCACAGCTGTACGTGAAGACTTGTCAAGTTTGTCAACGGGACAAGCCCCGTACCCAGGCTCCTCTTGGGCTACTTAAGCCCCTTCCGATTCCGGAAAGGCTGGGTGAAAGCTTGTCCATGGACTTCATAGATACGCTGGTCACCAGCAAGAGTGGGATGAGGCAGATCTTCGTCATCGTGGACAGGTTTAGTAAGTATGCTAGGTTAATTGCCATGCCGGAAACAACGAAGACCGAGTATGTAATCAGGCTGTTCAAAGAGAACTGGGTGAGGGATTTTGGATTGCCTAAGTCTATTGTAAGTGACAGGGATGTCAGATTTACAAGTGAGTTATGGAAGGCCGCTGCAGCTGAACAGGGAAATCAACTGCAAATGACTTCTGGAAACCATCCAGAAGCAAACGGCCAGGCTGAACAGATGAACCAGGCTGTTCAACACCTGTTGAGGCATTACATTAAGCCCAACCAGGTGGACTGGGACGAGAAGCTTGCTCTTGTCGCCAGTCTATATAATAACGTTGTACACAGCGCTACCGGGGTAAGTCCTAACAGTCTACATCTTACCTTCAGTCCTAGACTGCCTTTAGACTTCCTACTTCCTGACAACCAACCAACTGTTGTACCGGGCACTTTGGAGTTCGCTTATCGTTACTAACAGAAAATGCAGGAGGTTGTGGAGCACATGCAGAAGGCGCAGCCAACAATGATAGAATCTGAGAATAAACATCGCCGCCCTTTTACATTTCAGGTTGGGGACAGAGTCTGGGTCAAGTCTTCAGAACTGGGACAGGAGTTCGGGATATCCCGCAAACTCATGCCTCAGTACTTTGGACCTTGGGAAGTTTTAGACGTAGTAGGGACAGATCCTGATGGTCCATCTTATGTCATCCGTATCCCTGGTCATCTCAGAACTTACCCTGTTTTTCACGCCTCTAAGCTCGCTGTGTTCGGGGAAACTGATCAGTTTCCCTCTCGTCGTTCGATGCTGCCCCCAACCATGGATGTAGAGGTCGACATTGACGATATCATCGACCATAGAGAAATGCCTGTGCAGAAGCCTCCAGGAAGGGGACGTCGTCCAAAGCCAAAGCTGCAGTTCCGTGTCCACTTCAGACATCATACAAATCCGAAGGAGGACCGCTGGTTTACTCGGGAGGAATTGATGCAGACCGCTCCTCAAATCGTTGCCCGCTATGAGACAGATGTATTGAAAGGAAAGCGCCAGATGGCGGCAGATTGATCTTCTTAGAGGACTAACGAACATATGGAGGAGGGAATGCGAGGCTACGCCCGCTTAGCCCCTACGGGCCCTCATTTGCAGCAAGGTCGGCCGCCCTAAGTGAAGGCAGGCATGATAGGCCCTCAGGGCCTCGATTTTCAGGGTACCCCGCAACTAGGGAAATTCAGGCAGTTGTGCAACGCCAGTTGGTTGAATGAACTCAGGCCCTGGGCTGCCTGTGTGAATGAATGTAAAGCAGGCCCTAGGCTCGATACGGGTACCGGGCCAAGCACAGTCCGAAAGCAGTTGGGCACATGCAACCACTTCAGGCCCAAGGCCTGCGTTCCTCGTGACTGGGCCTCAGGCTACCGGGGCCTACTGGACGCTTCCTGGACTAGACGCAGGCAGGCCACTTCGATATAGGGAAGGGCCTGCCTCCTCATTCGACATTCGGGTGCTGGCTGCGTGCTGCGCTATTTGCTGGCTGGCGCCTACGCTCTCACGGGCGAGCAGGGAAGGAGCATGCAGCCATAGCCAAGCTGCGCAGGGTGGTCCTTGGGTGCTAGTGGCATCTGTGAGTTGGGGAACAAGGTTGTGAGGGTAGCGCAAGACATACCTGGTGCTGAAGTGTGCGACATTGGTCGCCATATGCTCGTACTTCGGGAACGTTGTTGATGTCATCATTCTGCTTTGTAGTATAGGCTAGATAGGATCTGCCACATGTAGTCTGGGCGCCGAGCGCCAATAGGATATCAACTCTGGTTCTTCGCTGATGATGATGGGACTACTTCAGCATTGTCAATGATGAACTCTTGGTGTGTTCTTATTTGGTGTATCTCGTGATGCAATTCTGCTTTTGGTTCGAGGTCAAGACTATTTGGACTCATATATATGATGTTGTTTGATTGTTGGAGTTCGCTATCACTCATCTTCCTTGCATATATATATATCTATATCTATATATATATATATATATCGTCACAAATAAAACTGCCCAGTAAACCGTAGGCAGAGAGAGAGAAGAGGACAACAAACGAGGGGCTGTGACAAACTGTTTCGTCGGAGTTTCACCGACTCATCAGGAGGCTGAACCCTCAACAGTCTGCAGAATCCATACATATATGTATATATATACATATCTATCTATCTATCTATCTATCTATCTATCTATCTATCTATATATATACAGGGTCACCAGCCCGTACGTACGGAGGTCCCCGGGCAGACCTCCGTATGTACGGGCGTACGGGGTCCGAACCCTATGGCGTTCAGCCCCCGCCAAAAATTATTTCGGGGCCTAAAAATAATAATTGTTTTATGAATTGTTTTTCGTGAGTTCTCTATGACGTGAGGTACATGCCTGTAAATTTTCAAGTCATTTGGCTAAGCCGAATAAGAATTAAAAATCGCCAAAGATGGCGGTGTCAAAACGTGCTCGCCCACGTATTTTTTCACTTTTTACTTTTTGTTTTCACTTTACTTCGGGGT